ATCAGAGGGACCGTGATCAAAAAGAAATCTGATGCTTTTAATAGTTTTATAACAAAAAAAAATCTGATAATAATCAGATTTTGAGTGTGCACGTAACCGAAGTACTTGAGGGTGAAGAATTATATAAGACTTGACATAAAGGTAAAAAAGATTGCTTATAATGCTATGGAGCACAACAGTGACCACCTGCTCTGGTTTCAAAAGTAAATTTTCCAATATTTTTTTCCAAAGACTTTTCGTTTTACTGTCGAGCTCCATCTATAGAGATACTAGTGCTTTCACCAAAAATAATCACCTATTGTAAATGTTCTCATTTCTACCTATGCAGGGCACTCAAATGGCTTCACATCCATTCACACAGCAGTGCACAGACATGGCTTTTCCACCTTCATGGTACTCAGAGCACATCAAGGAACCACTCACCCATTCTCACACATATTCATACACCAGTGTATGCAGACTATAGGGGAGAGGACACAAAGGTAGCATCTGTGGGAAGTGGAATTGCGCCGGCAACCTGTGGGTCAGTGGATCTAACTAAGCGTCCAATGATGTTTATACTTGGAGCAGGACTTGAACTGCCAAACTTCAGATCTGTGAACAATCACTCTACCAGCTACTGTCACCACACATGTTGGGATTCCATACTTTTTGGAAACAAGGCGGGTTGAGTGTCCAGCCCAAAGATACATTGACAATTTGCACTGATGGCAGCTGGGATTAAACTAGCAACATGTGGGACAGAGAATATAACCACTATACCAATGGAGCTCCTGCCACTCCACCCTGCTACTCTACTACAAACAAGTACAAGAACATGCTTTCTTGAACCAACATATTTCTGTTGTATGTGCAGTTCAAAATATTTATGTCCAGTTTATATAGTGCAGTGTAATTGTCTGTTTCGTTAAGTAGGCTGTACTGAGTGGAATGTCCCGTGAGTGCGGGTGGACGGGGGTGAACGAGGGCAGAGGGTGCACCGGGGTGCGTGAGAGGGAGACAGTGTGGGTCAATGTCGGTGATCATTCAAACCTGCAGTGTCGTCTGACAGAGAGAATCTCTCTAAATATTTACATGCTTATTCCCAGCACACACACATGATCTGATAACTGCTACACCAGTGTCCAACCCCCTTAGCCTCGTTTGCAAATGTTTAGAAACACAAAATCATTTGTTAAAGCTAAATGACAATTTTCTTAAGTTTTAAGAAAACATTATACCATTTTCAAATATAATACATATTATAATATGTATCTATGTGTGCATATATGTGTGATATTGACAATCCTTAAAAACAAATGAACAAATAAAACAAAAAAAGCCAAATAGCTGTCATAAGTGGAAAATCCCTTGTGTTTATTGATGAGGCAAGGAGCATTACAACAGTCCATTAGTGACTGTAAACATACAGTGAGTGTGAATATGAGGTGAGCTAACACATAAGAAGCGAGCACACACATGGACTTACTGCGCAGTAAGACCCGTCCGAACACAGAGTGGTCCCGGTCCATGGTGCTGCAGTTCCAGCGGTGGTGTCTGAACTGGTGCTGACACTCCCTGATCCACTCCTTGGTACCCTCCCCGATGGCCTGCATGATGTCAGGGTGACGCTGGCACAGCTGCCTCTGCTTACTCACTAAACCAGGGATGTTGTTACAGATGACACGTGCCCCAAGTGTACCAATATACCTTTGGACCAAGAAGCAACAGAAAAAAATTTAACTTTATCAAAAACTTGTCATAATCAAAACTGAATCAACTGACATAAACAATACATTTTGTAAGCAGTGCTTGATTTTTAAATCAAATGTTACTGGATCATATTTAGACTGGCCAAAATGGATATACATCCTCCAAAAACATATAGCTGATTCATTACGGAAACAAAATGTGCTATATTTTTAATAGTCTAGCAATTCATATTTGATTTCTCTTTCTATTCACTCACTTGACAAAAGCTACAGGCCAATATTAAAACAACCATCAGGGACACCAAAGGAGCATAAGCAGTAAGTTGGCCTGAGTCAGAGTTCACTACACTTAACGATAAAGGTTTGGACAAAGAGGGACTGAAACCATTTACTCTGCTCTCCAAATAAATAAGCACTTAACCTCTCCCTGTAAGTGTATGGCTGTTTAACAGCCTCCCAGTGAGATCTCTTCAGCTATTCACATAGTCACAAATCAGTGCTGTCACTAACTAAAGCCCCTATCCGCTTTGATTCTTATCAGTCCACCAAATCACCCCATTTTTCACACTGTAATAAAAGAAAGAGCATACTGAAAGCAGAGCAGGGTTCCCCCAAAATGAAGTGTGTGTATCTTGACCACAGCAGGTCAGAGTGGGAGCTGTGTGGTCGTGGGTTTTACGAGACTCTGTCCCCCTGTCTGACTCTGGGATTAGCAAGAGCATAGAGAAGAACTGAGTGCTCATCAAAGGAAGAAGAGCCACAGAATCCATTCACACTTCATTTTCAGAGCAGAAGATTGACCTGGGCAACTTTATAGGGTGGTAAATCACTGTCCAAAAAGGAGAACACAGAGAAGATGTGGACTAGTAAGGAACAACAAATCTAGCAATCACATATTTTTTACAAACCACAATCAGTATCTCCACAAATAAAATATGAATTTGGACTCAGTTCTTATAATTGCTCACAAAAGAACATTCCCTAAGTTAAATTTTAAAAAGTGAACACATTCACTCCTCTATATCATAGCTGTCTTGAATCCATACAAATTACAGTAGACCTAATAGGCATTCCTGCGCCCACTCCGCCCACACGCAGACACTTCGCCCTCATAAACACGCGCGTAGACGTTTTCTTGTATGTTATTACGCAGACAGAGTTTTCTGGATATTTTAGTGAAGTCCTGTTTGTGTGTGTGGTACCTGTGAGAATTAATGACTACGCTGCCTCCTCGTCTAAAGCAGGCTCCAGCTGAGCTCCACACGCGCTCAGTCTCCATAGCCACATTATTATTGAGTGTGGCAAGCCAATAAATACCAGGAACGTAGAAAACAAAGTTTAAATATTTCATTCAGAAAAAAAATTTAAAATAAAAATAAATAAATAAATAAAACACGTAACTATATGATTTTAACTTCAATTGGGGAATTCTGTACTGCTAAAAGGGTGAACTGGATTTGGCCTTCCTCAGCTTTATCTGATCATATTCCAGATGATGATTTTACAGGTCCAGTAGTCTACTTACCACCACGAAGAGTCCACTCGTGGCGTGATAAGCAGCAGCAAGAGCAGACATGCACTGTAAATCCGCGTAGGAATATGTTTGGGGCATGACGACCACCTGGGCGAGAGCCTGACCTCCGCTGTCCGCTCTGTTTTGACACTCAAAAAACGCTTCAGCCCCAACATAGCGTCCAGTACACTACTGAAATCATCCACTGATTTAAGTATAATAAAAACAATCTAAATAAAGTAAAAAACAAAAACAAACAAAAGTGCTTTCAGTAGATTTCTTAGGCGTTATCCAGTGCGTGCATCACAAGAGCGCTGCTACCGGTGCCATGTGCACACTATGCGCCCCCGTACAAGAATGAGTTTATCCGCAAGCAACAAGTGTCCAATCCCCGCTACTTCAACACACGTGCCCAAGGGTAAGTCCAGACGGTCAAGAAAAAAAAAAGTGATATCAGCAAAATCAGTGATATCACCGCTTAACTGCTCCTGCGTCTCCGATGGCGTTGTGCGCGCTGCGGGGTTTGGATGCTCACGCCGGACCTGTGCTTTATCAGAGTCAGCGCTCAGGGAGAGAGAGGGAGACATGAGGGAGGGCTGTTTATTGGGCACATGCAGGGGTTACTGAGTTTCAATGAGTTCTTCTCCCTGTAGTCATTCGAATGTCTGTGCTTTAAAATGACTGAATGCAGGGTCATAAGGGGTAGAGAATATTGTCAACATATAGGGCCTGAGCCATTACTTAAAATAATGCACAATAAAAACGGCTTATTATTCAAAACATACAATACCCAGTCTGAACTTCTGTTGATTAACACAAATGATTATTAGAGGCTAGATTTCCTACGTCATTACACCTCATAACATACATTTTTATTAATGAAGAGTTTTCATGGGTTTGAAGTTAGGGTTATTGTCCTTAGCAATTATCCATCGATCCATCTTTTGAATGCACAGGGAAAAGTCCTCACAAATTCCTTCACATTAGAAAGGAACCACGTCAAACTCATGTATAGAACTATTATTGATAATAATATGAACAGTTCTATACATTAATAATATTATTATTAAGCCCGAGCGCCAGAAGCTGCTAGTGTCCGGGAAGTGAAATGACGCGAAGTGACGTGCCCGTAGAATATTCTTCTTCTTCTTCTAATCATTTCTCTTCGGACCAAAACCCTTTTTTACCCAATGAACAATGGCACTGAACTGAAATTCGCGCTTCTCTACATTCTGGCAATTTCCGTTTCCCGAAAATAAATAAAATGGCGCCCCCGCAAAAAAAACAAAAACAAAAAAACAAGTAAAAAACATTATTACGGCAATGCCGTCCGCTGCACCAGGGGTTAGCAATATTGGATTAAAATTTGCTAAGCATGACTCAGCATTTTTATAACCTTCATACTTTTACGCATTCCTCCTAGGGCGTTCATCTGAACAGGCTCACATTTGGTACACATTATTTCAAGGGGTGGGATATCAAAAGTTATCCAATTTTTTAATATACGTCTTATGGTCTCTGAACAGTGAAGCGACAAAAATTGCCCAACATTTTCGGAAATTTTTGATTTTTACAAATTGCTCCCATTTGCACATACAAAGTTTGATTTCAGTGAAATTTTATTCACTTGTTAAACTCCCTGCCCTAAAGCGATTTAATATGAAAAAAAAATAATAATTTGGTGTATTAGTGCCCCTACAAATTGAAACAAAATTTAATATGACAGAACAAAAAAATATTTTTCCAAATTTTCTGAAAATTTTCACAAAATTTAGTTTTGGCATCTTGATCACAAAGTCAGTGACATCCAGACCATATTTTTTACAGCTTTGCCGTAGCGATGACATAAACTCTCTGTTATTCTAATGGTAAAATTACCAAATTGCACAAACTATGGCCAATTTCGCTCAAATTTTAATCGACTCTGAACAGATTAATATAAGAAAATACAAAAATGGGTGCAATTTGTATGGAAAGATAAAATGTACTTGCATAGACATTCAAAATTTGGTACACATATTTGTGACATGCTCTGGATTCAAAAATTCAATGATGCTCACATCCCAGCTCACGCTCTGTCGTCGCCAAAGGGACGTCCTGAGAAAAACTTCGATGCAGCCAAACCAAATTTTATAAACAGAGGCATCAAGGCAATAGGAAAAAAATAAAAAATTATGATGCCCCTTGACAAACTGGAAGTCCGCCATCTTGGATTAGAAAAAAAAAAAAAAAAAAAATCAACATGTTAAGGTTAGGGTTAAGTTAGGAGTTAGGGTAAGGGTAAGGGCTAGGGTTAGGGTTGCAACTAGGCTTAGGTTTAAGGTTATGGGTATGTATGGTTAGGCCAAGCATTAGTGTTGTGGCTAGGGAATAGGGTTGTGGTTGGGGTTTACACTTACTAGGGTAAGTGCGGGTTGCAGCTTTTGTGGGAAGCAGCATTTGCGGAGCACAGTGTAGGCACCCACAAGGGTCGACCATTGCTGCTTGCAGCTATGTTTATTATTATTATTAATTAATAATAATAATAATAATAATAATAATAATAATAATAATAATAATAAAAATAATAATAATTGAAAAAAAATATGGGAATGTTGGACTATGTGAGCCAAATGATTCAGTGTAGCAGTACACGGCTTAAATCCGAACCACATGTGTAAGACAGAGGGCTGAGGCAGCAGACAGGATCCTCTGTTCCCATCATGCATCTGGGTCTGTGCTTCTCTTCTTCTCTTGACTTGTGTTTTGGTTGTGAGCTGTCATCTCCCATCAAAAACTCTAAACATGTCTCTGTCCTTGCATAGCTCCTGACTCTGACCATACAAAAACTGCAGCTTTTTTGTTAACATAACATTTTCTATACTTTTAAGTAGATACTGTGACTGGAAGTAATGTGCAAATCCTTTTTGGAATTATAGCTGTAGCAAACCATGATTTTATCAAATACTTGAGAAAACAATTGTTCTGTTTATGCCAAATCAGCTGTGAATGCTAAGCTTCTTAATAACACATTTGTATTTGAGCTTACATTACTGCCCCGCACACTACATTGGCTCATGGATTGAGTTGGCTCAGAAGGTGAGGGAAAGACGCTTATCTGCACTATAGTTTATATTTTCACCGCAAATGCCAATGAATGCAAAAGAGCTTTCTGAACACTGGGAACTAGAATCCAGCTTTCTTTCAACAACAACAGAGTCAAGTGGCGTTTGAAAGAAGAGTTTGTCCTTATGAGACAGAACTGGCAACAGAATGCCGAAAGGAAAAAAAAATACTGCATGCATCAGAGGCTAAACATACAAATCCTGGAGATTCAAGTGCAAAATGAGCTCAAGTTGACATTATTTCAGTGACTATGTGTCTTCAGAAATATAACTATTCAGATTTAGATATATTATTAATTATTATTACAGTGGTTTCCAAAGTGGGAGGTGTGAGAGACTAAGCTGATTACATGGTTACTTTGGGGCCCCAGTTTGATAAATTGATATGGGAAATCATTACTGCAATTGCCACCTTGGTTATTAGTAATTAATCATAAATGCAGTGGGGGTTGTGGCTCATTGGTTCACCATTCAATCCCAATTCCAACAAGTGGATTCTGTTTTTGTGTCCTTGGGCAAGGCACTTCATCCACCCTTCCCATGAATGTGCCTGTGTGTGGATGATTGGTGGTGGGAGAGACCCATAGCATACATTGGAAGTTTCGCATCCATTAGTCTACCCTACGCAGCTGTGGCTGCTGAAGTATAGCTCACCACACTGACGTCAAGTGAGAGTGCATACAGTTTGAACCTATTTAAGTTAGACACAAGTTACAATTGAACTGTTATTCAGGGACAATTATGTCATGCTGTATATGGATGGGCCTATGCATCTGGAAGTCCTGTTAATTTATTGTCTTGTAAATTTAGATCTGCTGACAGAGATGTACCATTCAGGAGCAGGGCTGCGGTCCTGGGACGTTTGGCTCATGCTCAGAGAAGGTGTCATGTCCTGTTATTACTCCCTGTACCTCCGAGGGGGCCCCCTGATGTAAGGTTTGGTCCAGGAGGGAAGCTCCCTGATTCCATCTCATTAGATGCACCCAACAAAGAAGTTATGAGCAGAAAGTTTCAGGTTAAACTTGTAGAACATGACATATTTTAAAGTTTGTGTATTTATGACATATTTTACAGTTATTCTGAGTTTAGTTCAGAAGCAACCAGAATTGTATTAGACTTGAGAATTACAAGTGAGTCTCGTATTAGACTGAATAGGAAACCAGCCGCAGAGATAACAGACATATTCCAACTAGGGTATATCAACAATGCAAGCTTCATGTAGAGATAAGACAATGCACTATCTATTTCAGATGGCCATCATGTGTGCGGATGACACACAGAGCAGTAAACAGAGATGTGAGGGAAACACTCTGATGTCCAGGACATCTCAGACACGACAGAGGGACACAGGTATGACCCATGAGAGGCATGAGAGGCATGAGACCATCAGACGGAAATAATCTGGTGTCTACTTATCACCGCCTACTCTGAGACCAAATCATTTACCATATATTACCATTGTGAAGGTGAACGGTGCCTGACCATACAGCCTGCTTCTGACATAAAACCAACCAATAGCTGCTAATAATGTTTGGTAATACAAATAGACCATGATTAGGTTGGAGCAAGCTCAGTGCTGACAAGTTTCATGTTCTTGTGGGTTAGGGATGATCACATGGGAACCACAAAGCAATGTGAGTCAGCAAACATCAGACAAAACAACAGAATGACACTGAATCATTAGATATAAATATTAATGCATTTGAGACTCATTGTAGATGGTCCAGAACAGGGAAGGCTGTAAGCTGAAAAATGTGGAAATGAAATGAAATGTGGCAGCAAGTTCCAGGTGAGGAAAGTGCTTATTCAGAGACTTCAGTTTGAGCTTTGATTTGCTGAAGGCCCCATGTGAATGTGTGGTCCTGATTAACTTTAAACTCTAAGGTGTTTCTTTAATCTCATAAACCTCTGCTTCCTTTTAAGTTTTATGTAAAGTCAACATTTATTGAGAGAGGCAGAGGTCCCTTTGTGAGTTTACAAACATTGTCTTTTGGTTCTATTTGGCTTTTTGATTTTATAATATAGTGTAACTTGGCAGCACTGTTAACACTCCATTGACTAAACAGTTGTTTTTAGCCTAATTGATTCTATAAAAAAAGATATCTTTGTTTTCCATACATGTACAATATTTTATATTGTACCACGTAAAGTGCCAAGGTCCAAAAGGAGTTTAAAAAGACAGAACATTGCATAATATAAGAACTTTAAGAAGAAAAGTGAATATAATGTTTGTCTAAGAGGTTTTTCTGTCAGCTGTTTGAAGTGCAGTTCGCCTGTGTCCCACTGCAGATCTGTATGATCTGAAATAGGCACACGGCCACAGTGATGAGAGCAGCTCTAACACACTACAGGTGCTCAGAGCAGCAGCCCAGCACGTTTGAAGTCTGGGCCAACTGGGATCTCAGCCCATCTCTGACCAGCCCACTGCGCACACATTTGATTTCCATTTACACTGATGCTATTCAATTGATTTTTTTCCTTCTTTTTTCCAGTTCTGTTACAAAACAACATATTTTATGGGTTTTGGTAAGTTAAGATTCAGTTCTGTTTAAGTGTTGGTTTCACCTATACTCACCTGCCATAAAGTAAGTAGGGCAATTATTTTTGGTGCAGTCCATCTTAAACATTCCTCTGAGGTCATGATGTTTGAGTCACTGTCAAATATTTTAACTGTATTTAAAAAAAATGGTCAACATGCATATTTTTCATCTGCTTTGCCCATGCTTTGTGCAAAGTTTGGACAACCTCTGCTTCATGAATCTTATGTGTGGTGGTAAAATGTCCAAAACCTTCTGAGCTTTGACACCTTGATGTATCGTCTCTCATTTATCTTTATATGCTGAAATCTCACTCTCTAAAACAGCATATCTGAACAAACTGAAGGACACGTCATGATTCCTCCATCTACAACTTTGAGACAAGATTGCGTTTAGACACAAAGAGACATTCCTGCAGTGATCTTGATGCATGAGGTCAGTAATTGGCATAATACATGTTTTCTACTATCAATGTCTATATATATTTAAATTATTATTACAGATTTCTGTTTTTTATTCTTTTGTGACAACAAAATATTGGTTATTATGTATAATTCAATACATTCTTTTAGTATTTACATTAAGTGATTCATTTTTATTTTACTGTACACAGCTGTATGGCTGTGCAGATCTCATTAAAGGCAGGGAAAAGGAGAGAGGCCACTACATCTGGCTCCTGTTAGCCATGAGCGTATAAAAATCAAATGTGGTTTAGACACACACACTCTCACTGGGAGGTAGGACCCCAGCATGGTGGTCACAGCTCCTCAATGGATCTGTAATGCCAGCTTTAGTGAACTTATGAGACAGTGAGGGCTCAGACAGGATTGAAGCACCTGGCACAAAACTAATAACAAAACACAAAATGAAATCTGTAAAACCTTGAGGATTTGCTGCTGTCTGACTGAGATGTCCAGAAATGATATACCTAATATTCCATGTAAATTATGGGAACGGATTGAATCAATTGATAATGTGTATTGCATTAAAAATATACTCAGCTGGTTTTGAGTCATTAGCCTTGTTCACATGCACACCAAAACCTGATTATAATCAGATTTCTGGACCTATAAGATGATTTAAATGAAATGTAAACTGTAACATGTAACATGTTAACTATAAAATCTGATGTGAGTAATCAGAAGAACCATGATGAAAAAGAAATTAAGATTTCATTTAAATCTTATAAATCCAAAAATCTGATATTAATCAGATTTTGAGTGTCCCTGCAACAGCAGTCACTGACTGAAGACTAGATTTCTGACACAGAGTTTGATGTATTCATATGTTGCCCCAATTAATTCTTTCATTGGACTAAATTCAGCCTAACGCAAAAAGGGGAAAATCCAAATTGGATCACTGATTGGCTTGCATCTTATAACCGCTGATGAAGAGTGGTTTTAAGGCTCAAGTGTGCCATCTATATGCAGCCTCAATGTGTGTGACCACTGTGTAATTAGCCTGCATGTGTCACTCTAGCAGCTGACACCAACATCGAAATACAGGAGTTATAACTTACAGACCGTGCCATCATTCACACACTACTGTAGGGCTGTTATTCTTTAGTTATCTATTGACAAATCATTATTTTATTAAAATTATAGAAGTTTGGGGAGTTACTGGACAGGTTAATGCCTTGTCACTTTATAAGGATGGTGATGACTAGAACTTCTCTGCATACATAGTAGTCTTTGCACCACATTCTCATAATTTTGAGAGCTTTTGCTGGTACCATGCCGTACAGGGCATGTCTTTGGTCAAGTAAGAACATAGTGGACAGCCTTGCTCTACTGTAGTAATTTTTTGTGTAAACTTACTATAGACAATCACCTTCACATTCAGAGACATGTCTCTTGTCCAGACGTCTGCAATGTCCCGTTGGGTTAAGCCTGAGATCACAACGGTCCTGACTTTGGGAAGGGAAATACAATTGTATAAACGTGATGTCTGATGCTAGTTCTACAACTTTCTACATATTATGACAAGGTAAACTGTTTTTAATTAGATTGGGTTTGGATGTACAGTCTATGGTTATACCCATGATGGTCACAACCCACTGTCAGAAGCTTTAAGTACATTTCACCTGTCACTTACCTGTCAGGATGAAACGTGAGCTCTCAGTGAGTGTGATGGACAGCCCCCTGGTGGTGTGGAGTAATATCACACTCAGATACAATGAGCCTGCCCCTAGTTTGAGGCTCAGACGTGCTGCCTGCTTCAGTCAACAGAGTTCGGGTACTTCCACTTTGATCCCATTTGAACAACTTTTTGTGCATATGTCTCTGAATTTACTTACACTCAACACATATTTCTGAATTGGATTTGGAAAAAATAAATATATCACTGTTGGGATACTTGGCATCTTGATACTGATATGCAATACACCCATATCAAGCAATATAAAGAGGAAACACATGTTGACAGCTCTTTGGTGATCTCTCTCTGATATGTCCACAAATAAAAGCTGCACTAGAGTAACTGTGAGCTGTCAGATGCAATATTACCATATATTATTATTAAAACTGAATCGAACATGGAAAAATGACAGCATGGGTCATTATTACAATTGCTATTATTACATATATGGGAACAGATTATTAATATAGCTTTCAACACGAGAACTTCACAGGCTTTTGAAATGGGCTAAAGAAAAGAGAAGAGAGGAGCATGGAGGGGTGACTGATTGCAGGGCATTGGACCAAATGCAAACCAGAAACTGTGAGATGTCAGAAGTGCAATGGATTTATACTTTATCTGCTCCCTTGAGATCTGCCACACATACAACAGAACAAAAGAAAAAGGCAAGGGATGTGAAAAAGTATGGAGCGAAGGGTCAAGGGTCAAGCAGTTTGAGCGGATTAGTAAAAAGAGCCTCACAAAGATGAGCGAGGGGCGTGTCCAGGCACAGTACAGGGCTATCAGATGGGACTTATTTAGACCAACCTTTGTGTGGTGGGTGCCCACATCTGCCCTCCGCATGTTGGCTCCTCTGGGTGGGCTGCTGCCTCTGCTGCTGTGTCCAGGAGCTCTATTGGGTCATCTTCTGTATAGGGGTCACAGCATGTATCAAAATCAGAATAAGCTTTATTGCCATTGTCAGTGAAATGTATAAACATATGAGTTGCTGTTATTTTGTGAAAAGTAATAATAAAAGTATCAAGAACAAAATATAATACATAACTGACTGGATAAAAAATACAAAGTGTACGATATGGACAATGTAAGTAATTCAGAATATCATTAAAGGTGTTATGATGTGTTCATGAATCCAACAACAGAGGGGAAAAACTATTTTAGTGGCAAGACCTTCTCATCCAAATGGACCTTAATCTCCTAACCAAACAGTGAGAAGGGTTAGATGATTCTATCTGCACCTGAGGTATGTAGATCCTGCCTAGTGGGATTAGTAGGCTTTTCTCTGTTACCTCATGAAGCAACCCTCTGCAGAGCCATCTTGATGCGGGAGCTGATGGTTGACTCCCATAAGGTCCTGGATGACGGTAGTGCGGAGCAAGTGGAAGTACACAACCATCTCCACTGTCTTAAGGGTGTTGAGCTCCAGGGTGCTGCATTTGCACCAGGACATCAGCCAGTTCACCTCCCTCCTGTAGGCAAACTCACTGTCCGTCATCCACAAACTTGACCAATGCTGGTTTTACAGATTTATGGTTGGAGGTATAGCAGTTAGTTTTAGGGAGAAGAGCAGGAGAGAAAGTACACAGCCCTGTGGAGACCCAGAGCTGATTGTCTCAAAAACCTGCTGCCTCACCTCTGTCAGGAAGTCACTGATTCACCTGCAAATGGAGTCGGGCACGTTGAGCTGAAAGAGCTAGTCCTAAAGCACGGAAGGGAGGATGGTGTGGTGTTGATACTTAGGGAGCCTAGGTGCTACAGGAAGAGGTGGAGGGTCAGACCTGTTGGCTCTTCTACACGAACTGCCAGTGGACCAGAACAGTGGAGGTAATGGCTTTGAGGTTGGACAGGACCAATAACAAAGACTACTGCTGCAAGTAGTTGAAGCGGAGAAGTATTCTCTGCGTCCTTTCTCATGTATCTTCCTGATGTTGCTAATAGACATGCTACTTTTAGTCATTTCAATACACCTCAATAACCATAAAGTCTAGCAGGCCTAGCCTTCATTTGTTTACTAGCTTGACTAATAATGTTTTAAGCTTGACAAATTTCAGGGGCACACAACATACTCCTGTCCCCCCAGCACACACACATCCACACAGGGCACTGGCACAGACCACCAACCTCTCACTCACAACTCGGCCCAGGACTGGTCCGAATTATGTTCTCTCCCTCTCTGCCTCTGATCCAGGCCTCAGTGCTTTATAAATCAGCTGCTCTCTGTATCCTGACAACATTTTTTCTTCCCCAGCCAGCAGCGCCAAAAGGCTCTCCACTCTTCCAGCTTTTTCAATGACTTTGATTTGGACTGGCCAACACACGTTTGAGGAGTACTGCAACCTGGACACAGTTAACATGGAGCAGGTGATGCACTGGATGCTAAAACTCAAGACATGGTTCCTCCTAAACACAGCTGTAAAACCTTTATGGATATGTCAAGCAAACTTTAAATTTACCCACAGTGCATTTTGGTGGTGATATAAGGTTTGTGTCAGGTGTAATAAGAGTTATTTAGTTATGCCTAAACAACCATAGAACAGGACTGATAACTGCAAAGCTACAAACCAGGGACAGATTGTGAACCAAATGCAAATAAAATTTTAAACAATATGTCACCAAGGTGGTGTGTAATGTCATGTGCAAACAGTATACAAAGCTAGTGCTGTGGGTTATGTCAGGGGCTATCTATATAAGTTAAAATAATATTAAAAGGTCACTGTGAGCTGAACTCATAAGGAGAAACATACCCACATGTTGTTAATACCTTAGTGCGTCAGACCAACAGGAAGACCCCATTACAGCATTTGCAGTTGCCAAAAACTTTGCAGTTTTGCCCCTGTGGCCCCTGATAGCAATCTACTCCCTTCAGTGGGCACTACTCAGGCTGGACCACTATGTAACAGCCCCCCAGAGAGCTCATAAAATGGATTTTAACAGACTCTTTGCACTCAAGATAAGAACAAATTGGACCAAACTTAATGCCAGATTCCTTGAGATGCAGGTGGACACATTCACACAATCCATAATGATTTAGACCAGTTAATGATGAGCTATGCTACAAATCACTCATTCATCACTGCATATATATTACATTTAAATATATACTCTGCACTGATCTATGCAAATACTATTTCACAATAACAAGTCAAGGACTCCCATATTTGGATTCATCTTGATTCAACATGTAGTTTTCTTGATAAAACATGATGCAAAAGTATCATGTTACTGCTTTATAATAGCATAGTTTTCATTTTGTTTTCTTGTTATACGTTGATATGTTGAATTTTGCATCATGTTATGACAAATTTGTTTCAGATAAAGTTTTAATATGGACAAAACTCTATCTATGTTATATATGGATAACATACAACCTATTATATATATGGATAACATACAACCATTGTCTATATGGACTACTTGAACAGTATGGCAGAGCTACGGTTTTATATCAAATAAATAAATAAATAAATAATGAATGAATGAATGAATTAATTAATTACAGTGACACTAACTTACATGACCCCCCTTCTACAAATTTTTTAGAAAATATTATTCTTATTACTGGACTGGATTAGCATATACATAACGTATGTAACAACTTATTAACTTGTTTTCTGTAAATATAGCCTAATGTAACAGCCTAATAAAAAGGTCATTGAATGATCCATTGCTGCCTCCATGTGGTGAAAGATGATAAACGCAGTAAATGTAGACTGACCTTTGGACATATTACAGCTGCAGCTGCTTCTCTCTGTTCTGGGTAAATTGTTTATTCAGAAGTGAATGTGATACGTGTGTTTACCATGTGACTCCCTGTCCTGCTGCTGAGCTGAGTCATGTAGGTCTACTGTTAAGTTTCGATTTTCCAAAAGCGAGAGGCGCGACACAGACACGGTGTGTCAACATCATGCATTGTACCTTTGAAGACTGGAACTCGTCCTGAAAGGAAAACGAAAACACTTTGTATTTCCTAGTTAGACTATAAGACATAACATTTAACACAACTGGACTGAATGCTGCAAAGGCTACCATTTAGGCTGGCACTATGGTGGTTAAGAAATCAGCTAAACAGTTACGTGAGATTGGACTTGACTTCTATGAATATTTAAAAGAGACAAATCGAGCTTCATGTACGCACAAGGAAACGCTCAGAGAAATTTACAACACCGAGTTTAGAAACAGGTAAGTGTAAATTCTGACTTGGACAAAACTGAACTACGAACTAACTGAAGAAAATTAATTTTAGGACTGATGGTGAAAGGGATCCATGCTTTGGTTCAGTGCTGTTTGCCTTAAATCGATTTAATCTGGTGATAAGGTTAAAAGGAGGACGCCTTCGTTTCCATCCAGAAGTAAGTCTATGCAATATTACTTTGAATTTACATATGCTACCAAACTCTATGGAATCGGGCTATCCTTTGCCTGTATGAATTACAGAATCAATTATAAAATATGAATACACTATTAAGAATGATTCAGTTCAATAATCTCAATTGCAGGTACAGGCTTTGTATGTGGATCAATGGAGTTCAGGAAGAAGACAGTGTCCTCTGGACCAAAGAGAGGGGACTGCAGCAGCCCCTTCTGTGATTGAATACTCTTCTCCAGACCAGGCAGAGACCGGGGTTCGAGCCCGCAGGAATCTGGCCTGTGAGCTACTGAAAAAACTCAAGATACAGAGGTAACACTTGTCAGTCATATTTTTCACTGTTGTAAAGTATCACCAGTCAGTTCGCTCTTTTCCAATATAATATAAATACAAGTACACATAGTTTTACTTCATTAATATAAGAGTATTAATTTAATAAAATAATTAATATTTTGGTTAGGGACTAGATGTATACTAACATAACAAAGACAGAAAAGTGAAAATGGCCGTCATTGCAGAAATAATGTAGATCTTTTGCCCTTATTTAGCTATATGCTATTTTCCACCTCTATTCCTTTGGTAGGTATAGACAGAAGAACAGAAAACTTGATGCCCATATGCACATTAAATAACACTATTTACACAATGGCATCTCTTGAATATTATAAATTATATCAATCAGGAATCAATAGTAATACCTACTAAAATAAAATTATCCAATTCATCATTAACAAATGAATCAATAAAATAAAGAAGCTTCAAAGTCATCATTAATATCACCTTTTAAAATGCACAAACAATAATCATATAATCGTAATTATTGATAAACTTGGCAATAACACTACTAATTAATGTTAAATAACAATAATATCACTGTCTTTTTTTTTTTTTTACTAAACTAAATTGCATGGTGTGGTGCGTGCAGGGCTGAGTTCACCTCTGACAAACATGGCATTAAGATCACTTCTGAGGAGCTGTTCACAGATGGAAAAATGACTCTGAATGTGGAAAGCCTGAGTGAGGTATCAAATGCATAAACACAGGCTGAACCCAAGGTAATGATGTGAAGTGACTAATAAAAAATGCAAAACTGCCTATGGTTTGTTTGCAGTACACTGTGTACCTAAACATTGAAAACACCAGCAACCAAACAGTGCATTTTATCTACTATACTGCTCTGCACTGGCTCCAATTCTTCTCTCTGGAAGATGAGCACAAAGTTACCAAGAACAAACCCCTGGCTCTCCATTCAGGTAACTGATATATACCAATGATTGTATCCAAGAGTGGTGGTTGTCATTCATGTCTGTTAACTAAAGCATGTCTATTTAGTTATTTTAGTTAGTCTCTCTCTCATAAGGTAGCAATATTAATTTTGCAATATTCTCACTGTATTGGTCTGTTGTATTGTATTTATGTATTTATTAATGTTTCATCCATTGCTTATTCAGTTTAAATGTTTTCATCACATGTGTAACTGACCCCAGGACCTATATCACAAGGCCACCAGTCCAGCTCCACATATCTATGTAGCTGTACAGACAGGCGTCATACTTACCATATGCCTGTAGACTGACTCTGGCATTCTGTTGTTCCAGGAGAGCACTATGAAATCAAGGTTAAGTTCAATGGCAGTGCGATTGGATTCCACCCAGTGACACTTGCCTTTGAATTCAAATCCGACTTGAAATCTTCCACATCTTTTCACATTGTGCGTTTTATTGAAGCTCACTGTATGACCGCATTGGGCAAAGAGTTGGCCCCTGTGGCCGTCTTCAAGCCTCAATCACTCCCTGCATGGACCCCTGCAACTGAGTTACCTATTGTGGATGGGCAGCCTCCTGAAGGGTATACATTCACCCAATAAAAGAGTTATTACTGGTGTCATGATTCTCATTGTCACTTCTCACCTCTCAGCATGTCTGTGATGAAGCTGAGAAATGAAGTAGCGCTCAAACCATACCATATTCCCGACTTCATGAACCCTCTCATTAGAGCACTCAAAGAGCAATCATCCTACAGTGATAGAAGGTATCCACATGCCAAAGCATAATTAAATAACACTGTATTTTAAATAACACTGTGTTTAACAATTGTTTTTTGTTTTAAGGAAAGGCATATTGGAAGGCCCTCTCAGCTGGGAGAACTATGCAGAAAAGTTTAAGTTGATGCTTTATCTGGAGGAGCTTCAGATGGAGGTGGATATCCGGAGATACAACATACCCAATGATGACCAACAGGAGGCAACAATGGAGAGACAAAAAAAACTTCTGGTCCTCAAGGTACTTTGTGCAGGATTTACTGTAGACAACTGTAAAGTACTGCTAATGGGATTCCAAATAGCAAACTTTTCCTTTTGTAGCTTGGTTGCCCCTATCTCAGACACTGATCTTCTATCCTTACAGAGAATTTAAGTTATTTATTAACCATTTGTTTGTTAGGTTCCAGGTGTTGCTGAGAATCGTCCATCTGTGCTTAGAGGTGACCAGCTGCTGGCCTATCCTGTGGGAGAGACAAAGAAGAAATATCGAGGTTATGTCCACTCTGTGCAACTGGACAGTGTCAAATTGGGCTTTAGCTCAGAGTAAGGCATATGCGTTTATTTTATTTGAAAGGTTTTAACGTTCATTATATTATAATTCAAATGTGATCATTTGTCAGACTACTGGATATCTTTATAAAAGGCATGAAGTTCAACATTGAGTTTGTTATAAATCGCCTTACTCTGAGAATCCAGCACAGAGCAGCAGAGTTTGCTGTGAGAAATGGACTGGCCCCAGTGTTGTTCCCAGCAGCACCCCCTTCACCTGCCCCACAACAGACTCTTCCTGATCTCATGTGGGTAACTATGAAAAATTGTTCTGTCTAATAAAAATGAGAAGCATGAAAATAAAACTTAATCAAAAGGCATGTAATTAACATTTACTTTCTTCACTTCACTGCAGGCTTTTTGACAGGAAGCTAGAGAAAAACCCAGAGCAGTATCAAGCTGTGCAGCACATTGTTGCAGGCTCATCTAAGCCTGCCCCTTACCTAGTGTTTGGTCCACCTGGGACAGGTACTACTGAATGTGCAACCATGCCACATTCATTTCTAAAGTGGTTTACATGTGGGCCCCGTCAGAGTCCATCAAAACAGAGGACTAGCCTCAAGGGTCCAGAATACTTTGAATTTGAATCCACAAAACATTAACTCTAACTAAAGTTTTCAGTCTGGTTTGATTCCATAATGTGTAATCACAGCTGTATTTGGGAAGACAGTCAGATACAAGGCAGCCCCATGTCTCTGTCCATTACCAAAATACTTAATGTCATGCACATGCTCATGCACAGGGGATAGAGTGTAGGAGGCAGAAAGTGTCTTTCCTACCAGGACTCAGTTACATAAGGCCAAGGTTTGAGCTTGAATAATTTCACTTTTCGTGATAAAGGCTCACTATTAAAGGAAACATTTAATAAATTATTGTGTAGCACAATATCACAACAGCAGTCACAGCACAGGGTTAGTGACAGTATTTAATCTTTTTTGATGTTATGACTTCACTGACAAGGTCAATCTACTATCTTCCAAAACTGTAATGTAAATGCAATACATTTTTAGGCAAAACTGTGACAATGGTGGAGGCCATCAAACAGATAGAGAAATGCAAACCCAACTGTCACATCCTGGCATGTGCCCCTTCCAACAGTGCTGCTGATCTCCTCTGCAAAAAGATACGAGATCATGTGGATGTGTCTTCAGTATTCAGAATGTATGCCAGCAGCCGCAACCCAGAGCTAGTGCCAGAGGAGCTCAAGGTGAATTTGGTTATCTGCATTTGAATTCTTTGTCACATTGGTTTGATTGTACTAACTAACTAATTTAAATTGCATTTGTGTGTGTGTTTTTCCTACAAAGGCTTGCTCTAATCTGGTTGGAGAATGTTATGAATATCCTGCAAAAGAAAAGCTTATGGAGTATAAAATTGTGGTCACAACATTGTTAACTGCTGGAAGGTACATAAGAGTCCTTCACAATTGACTTGGACTTAGAATTTTAAATAATATTAATAATATTGTGCAGGCTGGTATCAGGAAACATCCCCATCGGTCACTTCACTCATATGTTTGTGGATGAAGCAGGACATGCTGTTGAAACTGAGTGTATAGTGCCACTAGCAGGTAAAGCTGGAAAATTGTTCATTTTATTTAATTTCTTTTCACATTTAATGTGTTGTTTAACTTTTATTGTTAATGTAAGTAATTAATTCTACATATTATTTTATGATGAAAAATGCAGGACTACTCCATCCAGAGACTGGTCAGGTTATTTTGGCTGGAGACCCTAAACAACTCGGGCCCATTATCAGGTCTCCATTGGCTCTGAAATTTGGCATGGGTGAGACAGTAACCATGAGTTTTGTCTACAGTAGTGCCTGACTTTGCTTTGACTTTCTACAAATGTACTGTGTTCACTGCAGGGCTGTCTCTGTTGGAGCGTTTGATGACAGACTTCCCTCTTTATCAGAAAACCAATGACATGTTTGACAACCGTTTTGTGACTAAACTTCTCCGCAACTACAGGTCACAATAGCAGAAATAGTAAAATAAACTAATTAATTTATTGCAAACTAAATCATCTGTTGTTTCAGGTCCCATCCTGCCATTTTAGAAATTCCCAATGAGCTCTTCTATGACAGAGAACTGCAGGCATGTGCTGATGAGCAGCGCAACTTATATTGTTACTGGGAACACCTTCCAAAAATGGTAAACTTAACCCAAGCCAGCCTGACCCATTGACTCTACTGAAGTGTTTCTGAAACCCCTGTCATATTAACCTCACTTCAAATTCTACTATATTCAGTTAGAATTTGATATTAGTATTCTCTCTATCTCTTTTTATCAAATTACATTTTATTAGTACATGATACACTATTGTCAACAAAGATAAAGATAATTCATGGTTAACTGTTAGCTCATAATATTTTTGTTGATTGTACATTTTAGGGTTTTCCAATAATCTTCCATGGAGTGACTGGTTTGGATGTTCGTGAGTCCAGTAGCCCGTCATTCTTCAACGCCGCAGAGGTAGATGTGCTCATGGATTATGTGAAGAAACTTCTGCAAACACAGGGAAAGAAAGGTATTTCTAAAATCTTTCCACGAGACATAGGCATCATCGCCCCCTATAGGAAACAGGTGAGAATAACTCACATGAATACATGAAAGAATTTTTTTAAGCATTATCAAAAAAAAAAGTGTTTCCATCACAGGTGCAGAAAATTCGTAAGGCGCTTCATATAGTTGAGAAGGACTTTAAATTTATGTCCTTGGATGACCTAAAGGTGAGTATTAAAATGTATAATGTTTATAATAAACTGAACAGACTGCGTCAATTTGATGTGTGCCTGGCAGGTGGGTTCAGTGGAGGAGTTTCAGGGTCAGGAGAGGAGAGTGATCCTGGTATCCACTGTTCGCAGCAGCTCTCAGTACGCTGAGTTTGACAAGAAGTTCAAACTGGGATTTGTCAAGAATGAAAAAGTAGATATTTCAATTTTAGTGTAATAAAAGTTTTTGTTAAGAATGCTCTAACATGCTTTTGTTTTAACCAGAGATTTAATGTGGCTATAACTCGTGCCAAAGCCCTGCTGATCATCGTGGGAAACCCTGTAGTGCTGAGATCCGACTCTACTTGGGCACGGTAGGTCTCAGGGATCAAGGGTATGTGATTCTAGAGGTGGGTTATAAAACAAAATGGTCTTGGAGATATACAAAATTAGAATACCTGAAATATAATCTTTCAGATAAGTCTATACATTCTGTGCAATATTTAAACCTCAACCAAGACATTCACATGCCTGTTTTAATACATTTCATATGGACTGCAAAAATATTGTCATTGAGATATGAATTTTTGTTATGGAAATATTTACATCAGTGATCTTTGACTGGGTTTAGGTTGTTCATTAATGGTCTTGGATTTTTTAACTAGCTAACTAGTTATGTTATTCAAGTTATTTTATGTATAAGACTCTGGCCTTGTGCTTCCTTCAAGTCTGTTTCTCATATCAATCTTAACTCATTATTCTGATGATTGCTGACCCAGCCTTGTGCTGACCTGTCCTTGGAGGAGGTTAGGTCTTATCCTATGTGCTTGCATCATTCCTGTTCCTTTTTCCTCTTTGTAGGGTAAAAACTCAGTATGCACTCTTATGTTACAACTTAGGGACAGACGACTCTGTCAGGGACTGGCAATTCTGTGACTGTGCGCACAACTGCTTTGAAAAATCAGACTCCTTGATTCTAGACAACTTTTCAGTTCTTTTATTGTTTGTAGTCTAGAAATTCCACAACATCAGTATCACCAAATTTTATCTACTGTGATTCCAGTTTTCTCCAGTATTGCCAAGACCAAGGAGGCTACAAAGGTTATGTCCAAACTGAGGAAGATGATGATATTGTGGAAAGATGTGCATCATTGTACCTCGACATGACAGAAGAAGGTATTAATTCATGTTGATCATCTGTCTTTGTGTCTAAGTCATGTGGTGCTAGATTAGCCTGCCAGTTATTTGGCTTTTTCCATTGCCTAACTGTACAAACATATATGAACTAAAATTGAATATATACTATATAAATATGTTATTGTGTTTTGACAGTGACGACTGCAGAGAGTGTTATACAACAACAGCTGAACCCAGAATGGAGACATGAAATGTGATGACCAAAAAGCACTGTTTAAGAGGATCTGTGTACAACTTTTATGTCTGCTCTACCCAATCTGTGGCTCTACCTCAATTTATCCTTATAATAGCCCTGTTTATTGCTATTAAATTTATAACAGTTAAACTGGTAAAGGAGGTGCCTTTCTGTGTTTTTTAACTATAGAAAACTGGAGCAATAGAATTAAAAGAAAAATCCCCCCACACATGCACATTATTATGTCACAGAAAGATTTGTGACATAGAATCACCACTGGTCCAATCTGATATTGCTGCATTTAACAAAAATATATATTGTATGATGTATTGTTGTCTACATTTGCAAGCATATGGGGTAATAAATTATAGCCTACAGTTATTAAATTGCATTTGTCTATCATTGTAACAATTTCTTCAAAAGTGATTGTAACTGCACACAATGGCAAGCATACAATCTTATCTTTTGTACACTTTAATAAAATTCGTTCTCTGGAAACTTTTTGTGATCCATTGTTTAAAAATATCTGAATTATTACGCGCATATAGGGAGTGATGGGAAGAATACTTTGAATTTGTATTTAGTTACAGAATACTGAGTACCGGCTGCAATAAAATGTATTTTGTAACATGGTCCAATCAGATTACTGTACTCTGAAAATTTAAACTCTTTTAACGCAGATTAAAATGATAGTGTGACAGCATTGTTGTACTCTTTATCATGCATTTCCTATCACCAATTAAAGAAAGAGTAGGCTTTTTGCAATGGTAAATCGCCGGGTCAGTTAGACTAACATCAATAATCTTGGCCTCCAGACTGAACAACACAAGGCCTCTGAAGGTTTAATCCCGCGATAGGCTATTTGGGTAGACACTTTTCGAGCGCGCTCTGCCTCCGGAAGAAGAAAGAATATTGGCACTTCCAGAGTCCGCATCGCGCTTCTTGGCTCCATCAGCCGTCGAACCGTAAGGTTAACTTCGCGGAAAAGTAATAATTTATTGATATCGGCGCCACCCTCGGCTCAGTCATGGGTAAAAAGTCTATCAGAGACTGTCGCGACTTCGGACTGGAGTTTTATGTGTACCTAAAACAAACAAGGCGCACTGATATCACAGAAAGACATTTACTCGACGACATTTACAACGGTGAATTCAGAAACGGGTAAGTCAAATTATGAAAAAATATATAAGTAAATAATAACACATGCACTTAATAACTCAGATGTATTAGGCTATCCATAACAATCAATGCAACATGCCAAAGACAGCCCCAATAGTCAAAACCCTGGGCTAAAGCTGTGTAGTGTTCATACAAAACAATGTGTTATTCGTAAAAGTTAGTAATATTAGTAAAATAGAATAACTTCATGCATGCTATTAATAATTTACCATTTCTTTTTATATTTATTTTTTGCAGAAGGCATGGAGTTTCATTTGGCTCAGTTCTCTATGGTCTTTCTTGTTTTGAGAAACTGAAAGTGAAACATGGCACCAGAGTAATTTTTTTGAATCAGGTACACTTTAAAAATATAATTATTTGAGTTCAATGAATGCAGGCTTTCAACATCTACTGAAGGATTAATAATAATAACTCAATAAACATTGTAACTGCAACCAGAGTAGAAAATATAATAACATATTAATTTGTATATTGTTTCAGATAAACAACTTGAAGTGGAGTCAGCCTTCAAGGTAACTGTAATAATAATAATTAATGACAATAATTAACAATGGCCAAGTATAATAAGAAGAGATGTGTAGGCCTCAGTGTGTTTGCATGTTGTCCCTATTGACCAGCTACTCTCCAACATTGCGGTTGCCCCACTCCAGACAGGCTGCCCTGGCGGCAGCGAAGGATGGGCCAAAATGCAGATAGAAATAACAGTAGGGTATTATCACAAATTATAATATGAATAATAATGACACTCACCTTTTGCGCTGTTGGTAAGTCACAAATCATGCACTCCTAGGTAAGGTTTATGTTTCTTCAGACCCACAGATTGACATTTTAACAATAATATAGAATTATAGAAAAAGCACTTCTTGTTCTTAAAATACACACACACATATATATATATATATATATATATATATATATATATATATATATATATATATATATATATATATATATATATATATATATATATATATATATCACTAGGACTTTGTCTGACTGAATGTTGCCACCCACGGATAATCAAGGGAGTAATCTTCAGTGTTTTCAGGTCCTACAGTGCTTCAGTGATCTACACACCACATGGCAAAATTTGAATAGCAGTTCTTAATTTGTGCCTCATTTAAAACCATGAGGGCTCCTTTACTGTTCTGTTCATGATGCAGTTTTTATATCATAAATCAGGAAAGAGTTGTTTTTCATAGCTACATTAATTTCAATTATAAAAACGGTAATTTTAAGGTGTCTACAGCTTTGAAAGTCTAAAGAGGACCTTTAAAGATTCACTTTGAACAAAGTGGTTGGAATTGTACAACGTGGTAGAGCTTCATAACCTTGAACAGTTTTCCGTGTGTGAGACTGAAAGAATGCTGTTTTCAAGACACTTCAGCAACAAAGAGCTATCTAACTATAAACTTGGTGTACAAGTAACATAAAAATTTGGGCGATACTTACCTAACAAATTTCACCTAATTTTTTTGTCTTGAATAGTTTTCAATTAACTAAGGTTACCCTAACAGGCATGACTTAGATACAGATGCCCTTGTAAAAACTTGAACATTTTATAAATGTGTAATAATTTTTTAACTTTGACCAAAAAGATACATAACTGGAGTTATTTTAGTGTTTCAGGCTGGGGGGACTTTGGAATATTCTGATGAAAGTTAAAAAGTCTAAAGGCAATTATTTTGGTGTGTCTTTAGTGTTCTGTTAAATATACAGTAAAAAAAAACTAACTTTTCTTCAGGGTTGATGTTGCTGATAAAAAAGGGATTGAGATCTACTCTGACCGTCAGTTTGAGGATGGGAAGATTTCCTTTGAAGTAGACAACAACAGCGAGGTATAGTATAGCTTAACAATACTGTCAAAAAGATATTTAAAAAGAGACCAACTATTTCCTTGTGTGTCATACAGCTCACAGTGCCTCTGTACATTGAAAACACTGGCAATGAAACAGTGCATTTCATCGACTATGCTGTTCTGCGCGGGTTTGCTAACTTCTCACTGGAGGTTGAGTACAATGTGCACAAGAAACACCCACTGGATCTTCCTCCAAGTATGACATTTTAATTCAACAAATATAAAAAGGATGGGATGTAGGGATGTAAATACATCAAAAATGTATAATATTGCAATTGCTGTTTTGGAGATATGCAAAATTAAAATTAGAATTGAGTATATTTTCTATGCACAGTAAAAAACTATTCTTAAAAAGCTGGAGAAAGAGTTAATCCATCATAGCGGGATATACGTGTAGAGAGTTGCTAAAAGGATTGAAATCACACTCAGATGTCAATAAGACACAAAACCTTATGTATGTAAAGTATTTAAAATCACAATAAATGATTAACTCTGTTGCAGGATGCATTCATGAAGTTGAGGCCAAATACAGCACTTGTGGTTTTGGAGTAGAGTCAGTGATGCTTGCTTTTGAGTTCAAACTCGAGAGATCCTCTACTTCTTTTTACATTGTGCGCTTTATTGAAGCTAAGTGTAAGACCACACTGGGGAGAAATGCCCTCAATCGGCCTCTTAGCCCTCCAACATGGACCCCTTCAACCACGGTCACTATTGATGGCCAGCTTCCTGAAAGGTAGTACATACACATATACATTTGAATACATTTAAACATGTTTCATCGTCCTTTATTGTGTCAATTATTTAGTTTGACTGAGAAGAAGCAAACTAATCTAGTATCACTGTATGAATATAAACTACCTAAAGATATGAACCATCTCATCTTGGCCCTCAAAAAGCCAGGCATATACTGGGATCAAAGGTAAACATGTCACATTGAAATAAAGTTAAAATGTAAACAGTCTTGCCCCTCATAAGCTGTAAACACGACTGTATATATATAATCATCATGTGTTACAGACAACATATATTAGAAACCTCTCTGAGCAACAACTATGAAGAGAAGTTACATCTGTTGTTGCATTTGGAAGAGTATCAAATGGAGAGAGATATCAGGCGATACAACATTCCCAATGATGACCAGCAGGAGGTGATGATGGAGAGGGACCCTTTTAACAAAGAGCTTCTGATTCTGAAGGTACATGGACATTAACAGACAGTTATATTATTATTTGGAGAATTTTGTTACAATGGGCATTATTAAGATCATGCACAGTGGTGCACTTTAATTTTATTTTTTAAATGTAATGTTTGTTTGTCAGATTACTGCTGAAAATCGGCCTTCTCTGATGAAAGGTGACCAGCTGCTGGCCTATCCTGTTGAAGAGACAAAGAAGAAATATCAAGGTTATGTCCACTCTGTTCAACAGGACAATGTCAAACTGGGCTTTAACAGAGAGTAAGAACATACAGTTGTGTTTTCCTGGGAATTATTGTAATTATAAAATGAGACTTATGTGATTTTTCAGGTTGCTGGATATCTTTGTAAAAGGTATGAAGTTTCACATTGAGTTCAGAGTAAATCGTCTGAATCTGAGAACCCAGCACAGAGCAGCAGAGTTTGCTGTGAGAAGTGGACTGGCCCCAGTGTTGTTCCCTGTGGCACCCCCTTCACCTGCTCCACAACAGACTCTTCCTGATCTCAAGTGGGTAGCTGCTCAAACATTTCAAGTAAATTATGTTACAGCTCAATTGTTATCTTTAAAAAACAAAACTTTACAGACTTTTTGACAAGAAGTTGCAGAATAATCCAGAGCAGTATCGAGCTGTGCAGAACATTGTTGCTGGTTCCTCTAAGCCTGCCCCTTACCTAGTGTTTGGTCCACCCGGGACAGGTACATAGACACAAAGGAATACATGCTATAAATCTAATCAAAGCGGTATGAGAGGTCAGATTAAGATTATGTGTTTACATCATACCAGATCATCATTAACATTGTTTTGTTTTGTACTGGAAAAACGATAAATGTGCTAAAATATTTTTCAGGCAAGACTGTAACCATGGTGGAGGCCATCAAACAAATAGTCAAATGCCAGCCTCAGAGTTGCATCCTGGTCTGTGCCTACACCAATAAAATTGCTGATCACCTCTGTCAGAGCCTATTGATGGATGTGGAGTCTAAAGTGATCAGGATATATGCTAAGAACTACAGCCCTCAGGATGTCCCAGACAATCTCAAGGTGTTTAAAGTTATTTTCCTAGAAACTTAGTTTAGCTTCATGCAAACTTAACAAACTACATTTCTAGGCCTGCTCTAACCTGGCTCAGAACCATTTTGAATTTCCCAAGGATATTAAAGATCTGAAGTCAGTCAACATCACAACACTGTTAACATCTTCGAGGTTAAAAGAAGCCTTACGTTTATACTCTCTTCTTTAAATAATATTATCATGAAATAACAGTGTTTTCTACAGATTTGTGACAAACAATTTTGCCAAAGGCCATTTTACTCATGTGTTTGTGGATGGGGCAGAACAAGCTGAGGAGCCAAAGTGCATACTGCCACTAGCAGGTGTGGAAATAATATCAAAATGTTCTCTTTTTGATACCTTGTTATCCTAATATCAGTTTAATAACTGAAAACACAGGACTACTCCATCCAGAGACCGGTCAGGTTGTTTTGGCTGGAGACCCTAAACAACTCGGGCCCATTATCAAATCTCCATTTGCTCGAAGATTTTGCATGGGTGAGGCAGTAACCATGAGTGTATCTAAAGTATATCTACAGTAATGCCTGCTTTGTATTGATTTTGTAAATGTACTATGTGTAGGGGTGTCTCTGTTGGAGCGTTTGATGACAGACTTCCCTCTTTATCAGAAAACCAATGGCGTGTTGGATAACCGCTTTGTGACTGAACTTCTCCGCAACTACAGGTCACAAAAAAGGAACAAAAATAAACAAAAATACATGTATTGCAAACTGTCATCATGTTGTTTTAGGTCTCATCCCGCAATTTTAAAAATTCCCAATGAGTTCTTCTATGACGGAGAACTTCAAGCTTGTGCTGACAATCAGTGCAATTCCTGCTGTTTGTTTGGATTTCTCCCTCAAAAGGTGACTACTGCTTTATTAAACAAAAAAAAAACAAAAAAAACCCCAAAAAACAACAACTCCAAATTCAGTAAGTATTTGATAAACATCATATCATAACACTAACACTATAACATCATAAAAGAGAGACTATTTGGAGAGGTACAGTATTTCCAGATATATTTGTTTAAGAGAGAGGTATTTTCCTAACAAAATCAATCTGTTTGACTCATTATATATTTATTTTAGAACAAAAAGGGCATTTACTCACCACTTCTCATTTTAAAGACCTTTGGAGGAGGAACTTAACTGTATTACAGATGACACTGATGCCAGCAGTTAGGGAAATGGAAAGTTGGGTAAGATGGAAGCTTATGATTCTCCAAATAGTCCTCAACTGCCTCTAGCTACAGTATATGGAAGTTCACTCCTTGTTTCCACTCACTTATAAGTATAATACTTTGTAGTCACATGCAACGCTGCTTCTGGTTTTGTTCTGAAGTGCTACAATTCTGGCAGCTGAATAACAATGTGTCTGCTAATTTCATGTAGCTTACATTATTTTTACAGTCTGTATTGATCTTGTTGTCAATGGCAAATGATACACACACAAAAACTATTGATTTGTGTTAGCTGCATCATAAATATTTCTATATCTTAAGCAAAATTTGACTTGAAATTACAGCTAATATTACATAAGAGGAAATTATCATTTTGATATGGGTGTCTAGCACCTATTGTATATATGGATCAATGTTTTTTTTTTAATTTAATTTAATTTTGTTAAGTAAAGTGTATGTATGTTAAAACACACACAAAGACACTAGCGACTAATGCTGACTATAATGATCAGGGTTTCCCAATAATCTTCCATGGAGTAACTGGTTCGGACAGCGATCTCTTATTCAACACTGCAGAGGTGGATGTGCTCATGGATTATGTGATGGAACTTTTGCAAACACAGGGAAAGAACGGCTCTACTATCTCTCCACAAGACATAGGCATCATCACCCCCTACTGGAGACAGGTCAGAATTACTCACAAATGAATACAAGATGAAAAAAGAAGAAAAAAAATACAATCTTCCTCTTACAGGTGAAGAAAATTTGTGTGGAACTTGAGAAAGTAGAGAAGGACTACAAAATCAAAAACATGAGCATCTTAAAAGTAATACAGTGCATTTTATAAACTGTATCAAGTGGCCAGGTTGTCTGAGTTTAATGTGTGTCTGCACCAGGTTGGAACATTGGAGGAGTTTCAAGGTCAGGAGAGGAGAGTCATCCTGGTGTCCACAGTCTGCACAAGTTGGCTGAATGACAAGGTAGAGAAACTGCAGAATTCATTTAAAAAAAATCGTTTTAACATCATCACGATGCTTCTGTTTTAACCAGTGGTTCAATGTGGCTGTGAACCGTGCCAAAGCCCTGCTGATCATTGTGGGAAACCCCTGGGTGTCGAATTTAGATTCCTCTTGGGCACAGTATGTCTAATGATGACTAGGATTGATAAATTTACATTTACTGTCATCAATATAATCTATGTATTGTTTGTTCATCTAGTTTCATTAGCTACTGCAAAGAAAAAGGAGGGTACAGATGGTGATGGAATTTAACATTCTCATGAGGTAACTCATAGTTTCTTAAAATCAAAATTATGCCACTTTACAGATGAACATTTAATTGTAAAATTGCATTATAGGGAAGCCTATTCAACAGCAGCAGCTTGAAGAGAATGGAGGAACAAAAAGAAGGAGCAGAAAAGATCCAATTAGGGGTCCGAGTTCAGTTCATTTGAGTAGAATCTTTTTTTTTTTGGCTCTTTAAATTATGTTTATGAATCCTTGGAGAGCTTGGCAGCCTAGAGTCATTGTCAACTACTTATATGGCTGGATAGAATGGTAACTTAATATTTTTTTGAAAATACATATTTTTTCCAATTTTTTTCTCTCTAAACTGGCAAAATGTCCAAGTGTACAATTAACATAAAGCCATTTTTCACAACAGATACACTGTAGTCTGTGGGATATTTCAAAAATACTTTATTACAGGTTTGTCTGTCTCAATAATATTCAACTCATCCCATGCAGATTTTGCCACCTGTGTTAAACAATATACAAAATATATATAGGCACTGCCATGGACAAGCTTTTTACCCTGTACAAACAAAATATGAAATATAGTGAAGACTAAATGAAGGTGCAGTGGTGGCTGGCTGGCTGGGTTGATTTTGTTTAAATTGTGATAGGTCAGGAATTTTAGACAATATTTTACCTGCTCATATTAATGCAATGTGCCATAACAACATAGGCAGGCCCTTAATAACTGGTCTGTGCAGATGTGGCCACAATGAACCAGTTTAAGCTCCTACTGTTGAAGGAAAATGATGGTATAAAACAAGCCGCCATTCAAGTGACTGCCCAGGGTTTTGTAGGTTAATGAGTATGAATAGATTCAATTTGACCCTTAATATGTAGACTCAAAAAAGCCCTGCTGCGTCAGTACTTTGCAAAATGCGATTTCTTAAAAATTACTGATGTAGCTTCAGCTCCTTTATGGACAAATCTGAGAAACGGGAGAGTTGTCAGTGGGCTCACAAAATATACTCATAAATACAAAAACATTCAACAATCAGGCTCTTCACATAAGCACAGGGGAATGCTGGTGAGTCAAAACAGAAAAAACAACAGGGAAAGAAGCAGAGACATGATTTAGGGCTTATTACCACGGGTGAGACCCTCCTGTAGGATATCTGCATATTCGTGTAGTTAAGAAAGTTCAGGAAGCCTCAGTATAATCCAAACAGTGCCTTGCGCAAAGGAGGAGAGCTCCTTCAGAGTAGCTCACATATGTTCTTTGCCCTGCGCTTGCGGACCTGGAGCGCCGCCCTGGTGGCCATCTCGAACACTTCCCGAACCCCATCCTTGGTCTTGGCCGAGCACTCAAGGTACCCAAAGGCATTAATGCGGTTGGCCATGTCTCTGCCCTCATCTGGCTTCACTGGCTCCTGTGAAAACGTGAAATGTTTAGCATTATGTCATTCTAAATCTTTAGTGTACATTCACATTCTGAGCACACACTACCTGCTTCATCTTCTGCAGCTCTCGTCGAGTATGTTCATCATTCCTCAAGTCCTTTTTGTTACCAACAAGTATAATTGGGACATTGGGGCAAAAGTGTTTTACTTCAGGTGTCCATTTCTCAGGAATATTCTCTGAAAAATAAAAACAAAATGCTAAAAAAAGAACATTCTAATACATAAACATCCTTCCTTTTCCCTTGAGGCTACAGAGACATAAATAAATCTTCCAGATAAGAATACAGGCTATAAACTGACAAAAACTCCAGGTATGGTTTTGATGAGGATACAACATAATAGCATGGTGAAAGGTTCAAGAACATTTTTCACAAATTGTAAAATAATGAAGCTCATAAAAGCAGAGATCAGGTGTACCTAAGCTGTCAGGACTGTCAATGGAGAAACACATGAGGATGACATCTGTGTCGGGGTAGGACAGGGGCCTCAGTCTGTCATAGTCCTCTTGACCTGCAGTGTCCCAAAGCGCCAACTCCACCTGACAAAAAAAAGAAGAGTAAAGGATCCTAGGTGTTTTATGTAAATGTAATTTGTTGCTATATTGGTGGTGCTACTGCCACAACACTCTTGGAAAAGATTTTTAATCTAAATGAGTTTTACGCTGGTAAAATAAAGGACTAAATGAATGAATGAAAGAACAAACAAGATGACATGGTGAAAATATCCAAGTTCACTGACATAGAACATACTAGTACCAACACTTGCTCACAGGGCGCTACAGTCTTGAGAGGCTGTAGAGCCCTCACGTGGAGGTGAAGATTTTTTTTATTTTATTTTATCCCCCAAAAAATGATACAGTACAGATATTTTTTTTAAATTTTTTTTTTTAACATTATGGAGCTGCACCTAAAAGTACCATTATTCTTAAAATTGTGAAACTCTTTTCCATTATAGGGTTAATTTCAGTCTATACTGCTGCATCTTTACTGGAAACTGGGCATTACCAATGAGAAATGGCATACAAGTGGTTATAATGGTCCTCCAGAGAGCCACTATAGGCATGTGAGCAGTTTATTTAACATCTAACTGTTGTGGCCTGCCAAGTCTAGCTGATTGGCTGCCACAACACACACCTTAGCAAAATCTGGCAAAATGTAATCCTGAGAAATGGGACCATGAGTAGTATTTACAGAGACACCTTTGTGAGAATGTACAGGGAAACAAACTTAATTAGATAAGTAACATTGTCTACCTTTCTGGAGATGACACATCCTGACTCTTACTTGGCATGGAGAAGATGTCATCTCCTCCATTCCAAGTAAGAGTTAGGTTTGTGTTACATGGTGGGGTGTAAAGAAACAAATTTTATTTAAGCCCAGATTGAATGTAATTATTTCAAATGGGAGAAAAAGGGGAATATTTAGCATCCTAGATAAAACGCAAACTAAACTTGGAGAGTAACAGGTTATTACCACAGTTATAATAGGAATCAGGAAGTGGGCATTATTCATGAAGCACAATGAGGGGGATTCAGAAGTGACCATGGATCCATTTCCTGGCCATGGATCCATTAGTTGTTTTGTCGCAAAATAAAATGGCCTAATCAACTGTACTAGAAAAAGTCAGATTTAGCATAAACAAATAGGCAGAATGGTTACCTGTTTGCCGTCAACTTCAATGTCAGCTATGTAGTTCTCAAACACTGTAGGGACGTAGACCTCAGGGAACTGGTCTTTACTGAAAACAATGAGCAGACAGGTTTTCCCACATGCACCATCTCCAACTATCACCAGCTTCTTCCTGATTGCAGCCATCTGCAGACATGACAGAGGCGGATGTTAAAACGTCATATACAGTACAAACAGACCACTTTAAATGGACGCAACTAATGGGCAAAATGGTAATAGAGTATAAAGGAAAAAGCTAGGTTTGGGAGCCGCACCCTCTTCCCTTTCCTGCGTCCTGCGAGAGGAGAAAAACAGCTGTTGAGCTGAAGTGAAAGAGTGAAGAACGAGGAAAGATCAACACAATCACATTTCATCGTTTTAATAAAGGAAAAAAATATAATTGAAATAGTGATCAATGTGTGAAAAAAAAGGGACTGATTTTGTAGTCTTGTGTATGTATGAAATGTAATCAGTAAACATCAAAATAAGGTCCATAGCTCAATGTCCTTTACGGCCCCCTGTTGTGTACCCCAGGCCACTATACAGGGATACATAACACTCAACACCTCACTCAATACCTGTAGATATTAATTTGAGTAATATGGCAAATTCTGTTTACCAAGAAAGAAGCTAATTGAATAGAACTGTCAGTCAAAAAGTCAAAACACCACTGTAGCTCTCTTTTGTGAGAATCTTGGGTATTCAACAGTCAATAATTAAATGTGTCCTGGATTTTGCTGAAAGTAGGTCATGCATACTAGGAAATGTGAATAGTCAAAAGAATGAATAGAATCACTGAATATTCCAACATTTACAAAATATGTTTTAATCATATAAACAGACAGAAAGCTATAACTGACAAAAAAAAAAAAGAGCGGTGTCGAGCTCATACTCGCTGATCTGAACAGCATGTTACTGAACAAGTGGCATGTTCACGTGCAGAAGGTTATTGCATAATTTTTCTCTGATTACAGTACTAAAGTCAAAGTTCTCCCACAGTATCATCAGAACAGGAAAAATTCTTCATAAGTAGGGTTGGGTATCATTAAAAAGCTGCAGATATGAGACATACCTTGATATATAGGCCACAAAACTATACATGTCGATACAGTGCACTTTTACTGATACAATTCAGTATTAAATTTCAAATCCATCAATATGGTTCAGGAAAAAATAAAATCTTTCGGTAACTTACTTAATGATCAACCCCATTTTCACCCAAAAATTTAACATTAATGGAGCATTCATCTTCCATTTATTGAAGATGAATGAACATGCATATTACATTTTGTTTAGTGCATGTTTCTAACTAGAAGAAAACATAAAACCGTTGCATTGGTCAACATTTACTTGTACTAAAGGGACATATGGTTTAACTGCTCTGAAGGTGCACCACAAAACTCCTAAATCATGTGATACTAAAAGTCTCTCTTAAACCTCTAACTGCAAAGTTAATATGAAATACACTCATTTTAATCATCAAGCCAGTGAATATGTCAAATCTATTACATAAATGAGTTTCTTTCCTCTAAACAAGCAAAGAAAATTGTAGTGCTGTCAGAAAATAATTTTGTTTCATATATGAATGCCATAGCCGATGATATGGATACTGTATAATCAAATTAAACAATATGATGTGAAAATATTTTTGCACACCCCTATTCATAGAAGTCTACAGGCAATAAATCAGTATTAACAAAATATTTCAAAAAGAATGCAACAATGGGCTCTAGATGTGTCACGTGAACAGTGCCTCTGCCCCTTATTCAAGTACTCAAGTATTCAAGTAGTATTCAAGTACTACCGGTGTGCAAAATGTCAAAATTTGAGCATGCATTTTTAATCAAATAAACTAAATGAAAAGTCTGCATACTCATGACAAAATCAGTGCAGGTGAGTCAATGAACCTTTGAACTACTGAAACTTATAAAAAGTTCATAGATTACAAACTGCATTATAAACTGCAAATCAGTGAAAAGTCCTAAAAACAAAACACTGACCAAAGAATCTTAGCACATTTAACACTTAGTAGTTTAGAATTGATTATTGACAGTATTCTCTATATAATTATTAGATAACTAATATGATACAAAAATTACATGCATTTCAGAACATGTCTGTACAAATGTAAACAACAGTTAGCCATTTTATGCAGAAAAAGACAAAATACTTTGTTGTTAAAGAAACTGGCACATTGCTAATTGTGTATATTCAAATAGCGATTTCAATTTAATTGTGACTAATCTTCTAGCCCAGGTCAACCTGCAGAGTTGATTGAGTGTAAGGGCCCAGAGACATTCCAGATGATGATTAATGCCGGGTCAGTGGCTGCTCAAACAAAACACAGTGGCCCTGAGTGAAACTGTGAGGAATGCCCCACTCACACGCCCCCCTCTGCCACTCACTGACCCCCATTCAAAATAGGCTCCTCCACATGTACACCATAATAATACATTTTATTTATATAGCACTTTTCTAAACACTCAAAGATGCTGCACAAAGACTGCAATTAAAAGGAGTGCACATTAACGTGTCGTAGTATGCCGATTATGTTTTCTTTCATTTTGAGGAGTAGCTTTGGGTACCCTCCCATTTATCATCACTTATGTAACACTACAATCCACTGCTGTATTATTACATAAACACACAAAGCATTTGGAATACTACAAAACTATCATAAACAAATGAAAACAAATCAGAATCCACAATAATTCATTCAGTAAATGACTAAATACTTCACTAATTATAACAACAGTCGGGACCCGGGTCTGTGGAGCAGGGTGTCTGCAAAGTGCGATAGGGTGACAGCTGTGATTAGCCACATGAGGCACAGGTATCATTATATAATTGTTACATTAATACAATTTAGTTTGTTTTACCAAAAAACGGTAAATACAAGAACAAGTTAATCTTGGTTGAGCTAGGTCTTGAGTATTTTAACTAAAAACCTCAAGATTTATTGATTTTATTTAATTTTTTTATTCATTCCTTGCATGTCAAAGAATCTAAAGTTCAGGTAAAAACTAAACTTTAACATAAATTTTGGTAATTAATTCAGTCAACATCAAACTTAAAATATTCTTCCTCTAACATAATTTGTATGAGCAAACTGTACTGGTGTTCCTTACAGTCCGATGGGGGAGGGGGCACCACACAATGCTACTTGGTCTGTGGGAAACACTGCAATACTTATTTTTACTTATTCTTCTGGAGGATCTACCACCTGCTTGTTTCCATCTAGACATTATTGCTTTGCATGGAATGTTCTAGGGGTTCCCTCTCCACACAAGGAACCTTGGCACTTACCCGTTTTTCTCATTGGAGACTTAACCATACTGTGGAACATTCCAGGCATAACAACAACATCCCCATGGAAACACGCATGCAAGTGATGGACCATCCCTCAGAGAAGTTAGATAATGCACCTTAAATCTGCACAGAAATCAAATTAAAGTAAAGATGCATCATACAAGAAAACTTACTATGTAAACAAACATTTGAAGATAACTGAAAAGCTGAAGTTGATATAATGCAAATGGACAAGAATTACACATCGTACATTAAACTAGAACCTCTGGCCCACCGAATTCAAACTTTTCAAGGTTGAATCCAACTTGAATTGAGAGCAACGGATGCAGGCCGGGGCAGCAGAAACCAAACAGGATCCTGAAATAGGACAGAGCCACAGAGACTGGCCTGGTCCAATTTATCACAGCACAGCAGCGTACAGGGAACAGAGGACCAGAGCAGAAAATATGGCAGAGATCCTACGCTCATCCTCCCTGACCCAGCTCTGTGTATCAGGACGAGCTGGCCTGCTTGAGAGAACTGGGTGGGCAAATCTCTACACTGGTGAGGAGGTGTTTGAGTGAGATTTATATTACATCATTACACCAAATAAATGGAACAATTAGTCACGGGGCAGCTTAGGTAAGGCGCTAATCAGGATTTTACTCCGGACTCTAACTAAAGTCTGTGGGAAATTATACAAGTAGCCGACTTTGATTGTTCTATGTTGCTGGTTCTCTAATGGATCTGAATGTAGAATGGCCACTTCCACCCAAAAATTCAGTTGTTTTATTACTCTGTAATATTTTCACACTACAAAAATATACATGATTTTGATAACTATTTGGGAAAAAGTAAAGTTTCATACTTCGAAATGAATACCAAGTTTCCATACTAGTTTGAAAAACGGCTGTAGCAGTAAAATGTCATTATTGGAATAGTTCTTCTTTCCAAACATGTACAAAAGCACAGCAGACACACAGTTAGTTGTGGTTCCCCCTGAGCAGAACTGTTTGTCAGGATCGAGGTGCTGCTACTTGTGTAATCTTGAAAAAATGTCAGACTTCACAAAGTGTCCTTATAGGGACTTCCTAGAACAACAGTCAAACAGGAAGTGCTCCCCCAGACTTTCTCCCCAGAGGATTTGCAGTGATAGAGGACAACAACACGGACCAAGTTAAGACAAAGCAGGTATGCAAAAGTGAACAATTATTGACTGTGTTTTACTGGAGGAGAGATGGTGTGGAAAAACATTGAACACTCTTGATCTTATATCTACAGTAGACTGTCCATCCCCAAAACTCCCACTGGCATGTAAGCAAAAAGTACACGGCTCAGAGACGCTGCCAAGAAAAACATTGGTTTTTGAAGACAACACTAGGGTGCAATGGACTCAACTCAGAAGTTTTAGAGTTAAAGTAGTATGTTCATTCTGAATATATGAAATCTATACATGTCAATAATTAAAATTCCACAAAATTAAATAGGTCTACAATAAAACATCATGCAACACTGAAAAATTGTATAATTATTCTATTCAACTGTGTCAATAGTACAGTAGAGCGTCAGCAACAATAGCTCAAATACCAGAGCCATACTGTCATACTAAAAATGATTCTTGGTGTGACAAGCTCTCAAGACATGCTCTAAATAAATGTACGTCAGGGTTTATCTTGAGCTACTGTCAGATAACTGGGGCTTCAGGATTCTGAATGAATACGGAAGTAAATAAATAAATATATTTTATCTGACAAATATTGTGAGTAGGCTATCGTTTGTCTTGTCACTGTACAGGTCATTATAGACGGGAAAAGCCCAGCCCATAGTTTCTTCTTTGGTAATGACTTCACGCCACATACAATAGCCTAATAGTCTGTTGTGTGCGCAATGGGCCAAGAAAAAAAAAAAAAAAAAAAAAAACATTTTGTGAGAGCATAAGGAAAAGAGGGCGTGGCATATCCGTGATTACATTTTCAAACACTATTTCTTTGGTTATAAGCCAAACAAGTGAACAAAGTGGTGAGATGAGTATTGTAAAAGCGGTGATGCCTCTCCATAGTTGGATACAGCCGGATAGTCCTATGTATTTCCACCCACTGGACAAACAGGTAAGGGCAGTACACAGACTGTATGGGGGCAGGAGGAGAAACTTTTACACTGAGTAAAGCTCGTCTCTTGTTGACAGTGAGCTAAAGTTCACATGAGTCACGCAAGTTTGTGGTTAAAAATGTCAATACATTAATCCCCCACAAAAACAAAGAATGTAAAAAAAAAAAAAAAATCAAAGTTAAGAAGGATTTCTTATTTCACGGAGACTATAGGTGGGCACTGTAGGCCTACACAAGAGTTAAACTCGCAACTGTCGGGCTATGACAGTGGTTGACGCAAATCGCAAATAAAGTGGTTAAAAGGAGGAATCAGGTGTCTTTCTGAAGAGACTTTAAAAATACAGGCTGCGCTCTTACCTTGTACAAACTGTGCTTTCAAAAGTCCAAGGAGCTCCCTTTTGTGGCTCCCGTTCTTGCCGTTTGCTTTAGTGGAGAAGCAGCTGTGATCAGGGCGTACGAAACTCACAGGACCCGCCCTCAGAGCTGCTTTCACGGTCTGCTCCGGAAAGGTTGATCATTGCAAAATTACTAAAAAAGGCTACAAATTCAATTACATCATTGTGGCAGTAAACAATTTATTCAGACTCTCAGACTAAAAATAAGATAAACTTAGATTACTAAACAAAATCACCCCTTTTCGTTTGATATTGTTCCTGAGTAAAAAGGTTATCTCTCATCTCATCGTCTATCAGAGTTTTTAAAAGTAAACCATAAGGGTCTAGATAAATAATTTGGGGGCTCTAATATAGGCCTATTTCAGCAGAACCCACCTGTCTATTTTATCATGGTTTACTTTCTACTATAGACCACACAGCAGCATGAATGCATGGATACAGCATGGATCAGTTGCCTAAATGTTTCTATGTTTCTAATGGCAAGTGCCCATTGTATGGATTGTTATACGCAGCCCTCAGAAACCTCAGCACAAACTCTAAACCTACAGATAGATAGTTAGATAGTTGGACAGTTAGTTAGATAGATTTTTTTTTTAGGTAAAGTTAAGCTTTAAGGGTCCTGTTCTCACAATTAAAGTATCAATGTAAAAACATAAGCAAAGGTTTCTCATCGCTGGTCATTGTGGAACAATAGGCAGAGAGGAGGACCAAGCTCAAGGCGGCAATGAAGAGTGAGTCATCTGTCATGACCAACAAGCACTTAACTCATGGGAGAAAGGTTCACTGTGTCCTCCATTCACCCGGACCCAGCTGAGAATTACTGTAAGGAAAAAAACAACGACATCTAGTGGAGTGAGTGGTAGGAAAGGTAGGAAAAGAATGAAAAGGGTCAAGCTGATTTATACCTGTAGGGGTTTGTGATGCCTTTTATCCTCCTTTAATAGATAACCAAAGCCACCTCTGACTGTTCTCACAACACTGTGATTGGTTAAATCCAGCTTTTACTCACAAAGCATGACAGATGCTGCCCAACTGAAGAAGTGGATAAAGAAAAGTATTTGAGCGCGAGAAAAAAAATGCTGCGTCAAACAAAAAAGCACAAGATCAGAATTTGACTATCTCATCAAAATACCAGATTGTCTCAGGTTCAGATCACAATATAATTTTTTACCATATCGCCCAGCCCTGTATAATAAGGGGTATAGTTGGAAAGAGCAAAGTTGTTTTAATTCACATCTTTTATTTCAGTCCTAAACATGTGGAACTTATATAACTGACAAAACTGCATGGATTCGTCACAAAATACGCCACTAGAGGGAGCTGAAATCCCAGTAGTACACACAACCTGAACCTTATAACATTTTTACCTGCACTGCCGGCCTCCAGTCTGCATGCTTGTTGCCGATGTGATTTGGGATTTCAAGGCTGCACCTTGTAGAATTTTTAATATGCTATTTTGGTATATTCCCCTTCGCAGTCTTGGCCTCTGTTTCAATACTATGCTATGCAGGTGGGTTCCTCCAAAATCTCTTTAATATTTGGCTCCCTCTAGTGTCTTTTAAATGCACCACAGGGAAAACGAGAGAAAGAGCAGAAGAGTGAGTGAGAAACCCTAGCCAGTGGCCAGCCAGTGTGTATTTCCATTAATCATGAGTAGTTGCTGTCATGGGGGAATTTGGAGGTTAAAGTGATAAGTTGGGGCCACAAGATGCAGGTGGATAGGGGAAGCACAAGGGAGCTTGGAGAGATAAATGAATGAATGTAGTGTGTCCCACTGGCAGTCTATGCGCACACACTGGACCGCTTTCAGTCCATTACCCTGCATTTCCTCAATGGATTATCTGTGTACGAAAGAGAGTTTAAGGCAATTTAAAGAGGTTTGAATCTGAATCCAAGCCAAAATAGGTTTATGTTACAAACTTTCTGGTAATTGAGAACTTCATTAGCATAGAGACAATAGGGACTGGCAAGAGAATGAAACTTTTATGCCTCCTGTGTAATATGTAAAGCTTGTGCTAATCCATCTTATGTACTCAGCCAGAGGAGTTCATGCATAGATGGGTGACTTTTGACTGCAGGATTTTCTATAGAGTAAGCTGTTAATGCTCACCACACTCAATCTCCTGACTTTTGTGCTTCTCCTTAAAAGTGCACTGCGTAACTTTTCTGGAGGAGAGTACATTGTCTGCTAATCACTATGGAAATGCTATTGCTTAAATTAGGGTGAAAAAACTTCCGTCTTTCCCCGGACATGCCCGTTTTTGTGTCCTGTCCTGGGCGTCCGGGTTATTTTTTTTTTTTCATAAAGTGATGGAAATGTCAGGGTTTTCATTACGGTTCATTGGGGCCATTAAATTGAGCGCCTCTCGTAGCGACTGTGACTCAGAAGGAGCGAGCACAAACAGTCGGTCAGTCTGCAACTTACAGAAGCGCAAAGGCGCTTTTAACAATGACTTGAACAAGAAATTCTCTGTTTTCCGTCCCAGTTGGGACAAGTGGGAGGCCATGTGCACACGTTGCGAGGTGAGAGTAGCTCAATGTCGAGGCCCCACCTTCCACCCCCGGTAAGTTGTCCGGGTTTTCACAAAGGGAAATACGGTCACCCTAGCTTAAATGTCTATTTTTCTTTTATAAAGAAGCATTTTATGGAGCTACATTGTTCCCTGATTGTGGGAAAGATGGACTGGCGTGGGTAGTGTTGTGTTTTAGTTTTAGTTTTTCCTCGAGTTAAGCTGAAAAGAGGGAGCCACTCGCTATGTGAATGTTCATGTATGTTAGCTATACTGTTCCACAGTATAGCATTAAACTAAGTAATTCATACAAGTCAGATCTGTGGAGAGGTGATTCAGCCCAGAGGATTTTTCAGTGTATTTTGAGGAATAAACTCATCTCTAACTGAATAAATGCAATACATGATAGATACAAATGTCAAACTGTGCTACAATCCAGGCAAAGAAATAATACCTCCAAAAGATAAATACTTAAAGCTACCATCCGCAAGTTTATTTGATTTATTTTTTTTTTTTCATCAGATGGCACACGTGAAATCCCTCCTTCCTCTCCTCACCTGGTATTTGTTCAGATTCACCTGTTTTCTTTGGTCTTCTGCAGGACAAACCTGTCACACTATCAGACTGAAGGAATGTAGATACAATAGATAGATAGATATGGTAATACAACAGGGACAGCCAATCTAATTACAGATAGCGACTTTAAAAGGAAGACAAAAGAGAGGAAATGTTTGCTCTGCCACTATTAGTGTTATTTGAGTAACCACTTGCCTGTGAAACAAATTGGACTATATAATTTAAGACTATATTTTCTCATGATTTTGGTCTATTTAGAGCTGTTGACTATAGACCTGGTAGTGCTCAGAAAGACAAAAATGTAATAAAAAAAAAAAACATTACAAGAAAGAAAAGGAGTAAAAAACACCAAGTATTAATGTATCTATGAATGTAACTTGTAATTAATTACACCAAAATAGTAGGGGTATGGGGCTCAAAAACTAATAAATGGAAAACCAGTGCCTTTGAATCCATCTTTCCGTCCAGATTGAGCCTTCTTTTTCTGATCCCATCTTGATAAGAACTAAAGCTGTTTATGAGATTTCCCAACACAAAAGAGCGTGTTGGCTGTGAGGAGACAGACAGAAGTGTCTGAGGATTACAGCAGGGCAGGAGCAGAGGCAGATCCTGAAGGAGCCGCAGCAGAGTGGAACAGTGTAATCCCACACTTTTATGGCTCTTGTGTTTTCATACAAGGGGTCGGGATTATGAGAACAAGCCCTTGTATAGATAGCCCCATATATCTCATTGTGTGGGGCTGATTAAACATATAAAATATAGGCCAAAACTGACCTAAACTCAAAATTCTTCTGGCTCAGGTTGCTACACGTCAAAACTATTTGGAGGTATAGAAAAAATAATAAATAGTTAATTAGTTCATTAGACGTAGCTTTTAGCTGCTTTTTAAAACTGCTTTTAATCAGGTTGAGCCTGTATCATTGTCTGTACTCACAGGGATTGTTAATAAACTTAAGCCATTGTCCTGTCCCACAGACCCAGTTCCACTTCGTTTTTTTTTTAAAGAGGCTCGGGACATGTTTGGCAATTTGGTCAAAGACATTTTTAATAGCAGCTTGTCTTCTGGCATTGTGCCCTCTTTTTGTAAAAGAGCTGTTGTCAAACCATTGATTACAAAAACAGGTCTTGACCACACAATTTTACCAAACTATCGAACAATTTCCAAACCTCACTTTGTGTCAAAAATCATGGAGAAAGCGGTTATTTCATAGCTGCAGCCTTTTTTTTTGTTATTGTTGTTATTGTTTAAATTATATTGTACACCGTTGTATACAGCTCACCTCTGGACTAATTGTAAAAAAGCTAGTTTGCAAAGACTGCATGTTGCTTACAATGACGCTTTACGGGTGCTTTTGAGGAGTGCAACTGAAATGTTTGTTACTGCACGAGTGAACACTTTGCAAGCTGCACTAAAAATTTTAATGTACAGTTTTATCTGCAGACTGAACAAATCAGACAATGAAATAATAATGTCACTCACAAATTTGAGATTCAGTGCAGTAAAATATCAGTCCAGTATGTGGAGACACTGGTATGGTTGTCTTTTAAAAACATAAATGTTTATTGTTTTGTATTGTCACTGCCCTTGTCTGTTTTTAAAATGGACCATGAGTCCAGAATAAAGATGATGATGATTTAGATGAAAATGGCACTTTAAACACTTTCCAGTCAAGCTATTCTAGCAAGTCTAGTCAAGCAGTCTAGCTAAATCATTTCACAGCACTGAGTACTGAGCACTTTTAAAGGTTTTTAATGACTTATTTTAAATAACTGATTCTGCCTGACACTGATTTGACACAGTCGACCACGCAACTCTTTTAAAATGACTTAAAGAAGGTGTTGGTGCCAGGGGGACCACCCTGGACTGGTTTAGGTCATACCTGTGTGGGCGGTCCTCGTTGTTCACTCATCTTCTTAGTTGAGTCCCGCAGTGTTCAGTTCTGGGGCCTATGCGTTTTGCACTCTACCTGCTCCCATTTACTTGCCCAGAGCAAAGAACAATCACCGCCCCCCTGACTCCCCTACTCGACTG